ACAGGAGTTTCCTCAGATTATTCCACAGGAGTTTCCTCAGATTATTTCACAGGAGTTTCCACAGATTATTTCACAGGAGTTTCCTCAGATTATTTCACAGGAGTTTCCTCAGATTATTTCACAGGAGTTTCCACATATTATTTCACAGGAGTTTCCTCAGATTATTTCGCAGGAGTTTCCTCAGATTATTCCACAGGAGTTTCCTCAGATTATTTCACAGGAGGTTCCTCAGATTATTCCACAGGAGTTTCCTCAGATTATTCCACAGGAGTTTCCTCAGATTATTTCACAGGAGTTTCCACATATTATTTCACAGGAGTTTCCTCAGATTATTTCGCAGGAGTTTCCTCAGATTATTTCACAGGAGTTTCCTCAGATTATTTCACAGGAGTTTCCTCAGATTATTTCACAGGAGTTTCCTCAGATTATTTCACAGGAATTTCATCAGATTATTTCACAGGATGATGTCTGTGGTGCTCTGAGGATGACCGTAACGTAGCAGGGTTGTTCTCACGCGCTGTTATGACGCAGATCCGTAGCGACGTCTCTCTGTGTCTGGATGAAACACTCCTGCATCCCGCTGCTTACGGACTCACGCATTAAACAAACCCAGACACACAAAAAGGACCACAGTGGGAACCTAACAACCTGTAAAGCCGTGTGAGGCAACACGTCCGACGGGAGCGCGCGGCTGCCGCGGGTCCGGAGGAGGGCGGCTCGCGCATCTGTTGCCTGGGTGAATTGTTGACCACGTTAGCATCTAGCTAGCTAGCAGCAGGTTCTAACAATAGGCTTGACAGCTAAAATTACGACCGTCGTGTCACGTTTGTGATCGGCAGTGATCAAGTTTAGATTTTTTTTTATTTTAAACTGAATATCGTGTCATGCAGGCGGTAATACACAACATAAAGATGAACTTAAATGTGCAGGAATGATTCTCTTACGAGGCTAAGGAGCTAGCAGGCTGAGGCTATGCGGTTGTTGCAGCAGAGCGGACCTGCAATGCCTCCTGACTGAAAGTATTGTGTTTCTGTTGAAGCGGAAGATCTGTAAAATAGGTAAATATGACGGGTGTGTGGGTTTTCATAGCCAGCTAGAACACCACGCAGACAATGGAGTCTTTCCTGCAGATAGCTCCGCATTCTTTGGCCATAGTGCTGGCCAGGGTCGGGGCTGGGGAGGCGTCAGGTGCGGCTGCCGTGTCGGAGAGCGACGAGCTGCCCCGACACCACACCGGGTATGAGATTTTTGCCGATTTCAAAGCGGAGAACTCCCAGCAGCACGTGTGGAACCAGCGGGTTACCGAAGCCGTGTCTGAGACCTTCTTCCTGGGCTGGATCGATGAGCACGTGCTCCTGATCCAAGGCAAAGAGGACCACCTGGAGGTGCTGAGGGAGGGCTGGATGCGGAGGTCCCTCAACCCGCCGCGGGGCTTCACCATCAAATACCTGGGTAAGACTTTTTACTTCAGCCAGACCATGCTGCCCTTCCTAATCACAGCGACTTGATGAAAGTTTTCTGTTTGGATTCAAGTTTCCTGAAAAAAAAAAATGGAACCCACCCCAAAAACAATAACATTTGCATACAAATTAATTATTGTATCATTTAATGCATCATTTTTAAACGATTTAATAGTAAACTAAAGGAATCTATTCTGCCTACAGCTTTTAATGTTTAAAGGGGACCAGTTGTGCCAAAATTAACTTTTTTTTAACATGTTTTTATGCTTCAGTTTGGGTCTGTACTGCTTCCAGAACCAGTCCAAGTGACAAAAAATATTCCTAGTTGGTTTTTCACAATATGTAGTTTTTTTTTTTATAGTGTCAGCAAACAAGCTGTTTCAAAAACCTGGGGATAGTGATGTCACAATCCCAGTGACCTAGCAACGTCAAGGCCAGCCCAGCCCCTCACCTGGTAACCCAAGCTGAGACTCCGCCCCCTTTCTTCACAGTACGAAGGCTGTGTCCAAAACGACAGGCCGGGTCCTCCGGAGGACCCAGAC